CTAGCATAACCGTTTGCAATCTTAGACTCCAGTAGTAAACACATGGCTACCTGTCTGGGGACACTACTCCTACATATTACCATGAGTACAGGTGGGGTGAGTGAAACAGACCTAGCTTGGGCTGAGAGAGAGAGACAGGAAAGAGGTAGGTATCCAAGCCATTCCCAGGTTACATAAATTTTATTTGAAGCTATGCTATTAGTTGAGCGAGTAGGATCATCCAATGCTCTTACCACTCAGCAGTTCTTCTATCTTATTCTTTTCATCTGTCAAGTTCTTTCTTTGTAGAGACTGTTCTAAAACTCTTCCCCTCACCCTAAGCCCCAAACTGCATCTCCAGCCCTCAGACTTGTAGCACTAACTTTGTTTCCTACTTTACCAAAAAGATATAGGCTACTCTGATAGGCTCTTCCTTCAGTTTTCTTCTCAGCTCCCCAAAACTTCTCAGTGTTACCAGCCATAGTCTTTTAATCACTGGAAAAAGGTTGTGAATAAAGTTGTTTTGCAGCTTTGCTTCTCTATTCTGTAGTTCCATTACACAACTATTTATTGAGCAGTTGCCACATAGAAGTCCCTGTGGTAGGAACAAAGAAGCAGAAAATCTTCCTAGCCCTGTCTTCAGGGAGCTTATAAATCAGTTTCTTAGAAACAAGTGTCCCCTGATCTCTGGAAGTCATCTAAGACAATAATGAGAGATTGGGTCAGAACCAGGCATTTTTGGTATAATATTGTTATTATAGTTTCTGTAAAATGCAATGACATTCTCCCATCAGTCTCTGTTCATGGGGCATGCTGCCATAATCTTATTCATTGATGGAACATGGGATCAAAAAGATTATTACATTGTTTAATGTGTATTGAATAATACACAGGATACGAAGGTCCCCATGTACCCGGACTAGATCTTGATTAGTTTTGCAATCTTTTACACTGGAAAGGTAATAAAGGCGAAAATCTCAGTATGTCAAATACCACTACAAAGAATACAAAAATATAAATGTTGCCACAACTTGGGATGGCCCAATGATTTATTGATTTGGTTACAATAGGTTTTATACAACACACAATGTTATGCAAGATTTTTCTTTTTTCCCTGACCATGCAACTGACTTGTTCACATTGTAGGCAGGGTAAGTAGAAATGAGTCAAACTACAACTGAGTTCTTTTTTACATATCTTTGGTCCTGCTATAAATATTAATCACTTTTCAGTTTCTCTGACCCTTTTCTGACTTCATACATCTTAGCCATCTAATCAGAATGTACTTAAATTTGCAAGCCACCCACGCAAAGATTAACAAGCTAGAAAAAAGGGAAAAAAAATTATATGTAGTGGTTGTAGGTTTCTGTTGGGAGGGTGGGGAGGCTGGAGAACAGGGAAAGGAAGCCTCTATATGTATGCACTTAACTTTTTCACTCCTATTACTGGATATAGAACACTGATTTTCATTTATTCAGTTCATGTTTATTGAACACCTACTATGTGGGAGGTACTCGGGGGGGGGATACAAAAAATAAGACAATCCCTACCCTCATGGAACTTGCAGTCTAGTAGGATTAATAAGACATGTACATAAATAACCATTGTACCTATTCATTCATTATAGAAAATCTGGGACCCTTGCTTTATTTCCAACTTCTGCTGTCTGGGAATGTGATTCTAGCAATGGATTCCATTTTTATATTGCAACAAAACAATCTGAAGATCCTTGGAGTTTGTTAGAATATCTTTCACCTTTGTAGGGTAACCCAAGATCATTATATTGGTGACTTAGAAGTCTTGCCTTCACCCTTCTCAGTAGGTGATTAGTAGTAGATAACCTTCTGATGTCAAATGATGTCCTGGCCTTCTCTATACTTTTACCTGTCAGTAGCTTCATTTAGAAAGGCAGCTAGGTGGTGCAATGGATAAAGTGCCAGGCCTGGAATCAGGAAGACTCATCCTCCCAGGTACAAATCTGGCCTCAAACACTTACTAGCTATGTGACCCTGGGCAAGTCACTTAACCCTGTTTGCCTCAGTTTTCTCATCTGTAAAAATGAGCTGGAGATGGAAATGGCAAACCACTGAAGTATCTCTGTCCAGAAAACCACAAGTGGAGTCACTGAGAGTTGGACACAGCTGAAACAACTGAACAACAACAAAGCTTCATTTAGAACCTCGTGTATGTCCCACTTTGGAGGATCCCTTCTATGTACACTTTGGGTGGCATTCTCAGTCAACTTACATATATGAAATTATTATGTTGAAAGTATTTACAGTTTATTGAGCTTGGGAAATATTTATGACATGATAGGCTTTGTTACAATTGCCAAATATATGTTCCAGATTTTTTTTAAAAACTTGAAGTATTTGAGCATTCATTGCTTTTCTAAACAAACTATCCTTTTAGTAAATATTGCAGTCATTTTATGATTTCCCTTTACTGAACATGATAAAAGCAGAAGAGGGCTTCCTATTTTGCCTTGGCAAATATATAACTGAATAGAATTTTCCAGGATAGTTCTTTTCCTATTTTAGTTCCCATACATACTTCTGAAGCATGATAAGACCCTTAATCAACTAAAAGGAAACCTTTCAGATTTATCAAAGATCTTGGGAGTCTGGGCCAGAAGAGATCATTGATCTAAACTCTCTACCATCACTTTACAGATGAGGAAATTGAGGCCCACAAAAGAGAAATGACTTGCTTAGGGTCATATACCTATAACCTCTGGTGATAAAACTAGTTCTTTTTATTCTTCTAAGAGCATTCACTCTGTAGTCAGATGGCCCGGATTCAAATCCTACTTTTGACCTTTAATATGTGTACTCCTTTTGGCAAGTAATTTAACCTCCCTGGGTTTCAGCTTCCTTATGTATACAAATGAAGGGTTTGAGTTATATGCCCTCTGATGTCCTTTCTAGTTCTTTTATTTTATTCACCTACTCTCCTGGAGCAAGGAGGAAGGAACACCATTACACCTTTTTATCTTGTCGGGGACTCAAGCTATGGAGATAATTTTGTTGGGTTGATCAATTCTTACCTTTGTACCTGCCATGCTGAATGCCAGAGAAAAACAAGGGATTGAAGACAATCTTCTAGATAGGCCAGACTCATACCCATGCCATCGTTTCCCCTCCCCCAAGAACATTTACTCCAACTATTCTCCAGTCCATTCAGGTAAAAGAAAAAGCAGAATCTGATTATAATAAAGTAACTCACATTCTTATAACATCCAGTTCTATATCATGAGGCTGGTCCCATGGGCTAATGGTTGTCCTAGAGTAGCATTGTTTTCCTGAGCTGATTACAACTAATTCTATTAAATAAAACATCTCATATGAGTTAAGGGTTTACCAGTCCATCTCATTGGCTTTGATTTCTATATTGAAGAGACTGTCACTCTGTCATAATAAAATCTAATTTTTACCTAACCTCAGTTTATCAAAAACATGGATTTTATGAAAGTGACTTGTAATGAAGATCTGAAATCTTTATGGTCTCCAGCTGCCCAGTTGCAGCAATGGAAACACCTGTCAGAAAATGTGAGAAACCACTGCATGAAGGATAGGATGGGACTCTAACCACCCCACTCCACAAGTCTATTCCATTGCTCTCATCAGTTTCAGCCTACCACTCCCTCATTGCTCACCTCAGCTTTCTACTTGTCACTCCATTTTGATAGGACCATGGTTCTGCTTTATGTTGTAATAATAGGGCTTACCTTTTCCCTTAAATTCTTTGCCATGTAACTCTACCTTCTGAACACAATGTGAGAGAATCTTAATACAATTTCATGGTTTTCAAACTATAATTTAAGGGTTTTGTTTGCATGTGGTTATGAACTTTGGGATGGGTGCTTTCTGAAGGACTAGGAGGTGGGGGGTGGGGAGGCTGGCAGAATTCAGGCTACCTAGCAAAGTTGAGTGCATAGTGGTGGTGGTGGTCATAGTAGTGGTGAGATTTCAGAAAGCCTTTGGAAAGACAGACAGGAATTGGCTTTTCACCTGCCCTGCATCCTTCCATCTTTATTAAGTGACTTGCTCATCACTCTGTCACTGTTTCTTTCACTATAAACTTTTTAACCCAGGAAGCTTTTTTTTTTTTTTAACATTTTGTGTGTTATGGACCCCTTGGGCAATCTGCTAAAACTTATGATCCCTTCTCAGAATAATGTTTTTAAAGAATCGAAGGAAATGCTAACTTTCAGTTAGAGGTTAATGAAAATAAAGATAGATTTTTTTTCCCCAATCCAAGTTCGCAGACCCCTTGAAATCAATCCATGGGCCTCCCCAGGAGTCTTGACAGGTTGAGAACTCTTGCTTTCACCTCTGTAAAAAGCAATTTTTTCTTCTAAAAACAAACCAAGAGCTGTAAGGCCACCACAGAACCCTGGGCAAGACTTGTCAGATTTCATTGTGTGTGATATGGCCTTCAAAGACAGGTACCTCACCCACACAGCATAAACAAGGAGGCCCTTTACAGGGTCTACCCTTCCTACTGGAGCTGCTCTACTCTATTTCTTTCAGATCAGAAACCCCCAATTCCTCTAGAACCCAGAAGTTCTAACTGCTGATTGCGAGTACCGTATTTATAAAATGAATCTGTAGACAAGGCCCCTCTTTGTACACTGTTCTAATAATTCTCCACTTAAAAGCAATTTTGAAATGTGACAGAGGGGTTCAAAGTGTCTCCTCCCCCGTTACCATCTTTTTAGCTTCCTTCTTTGTTCCTTTGATATTGTCTTCATTTTTACTCTGGTTACTGGGATATGGCCTATAACTTCATGTTTAGGTTGAGTATTTAGGCTGGAGTTTGACTTCTTACATAGGCAGAGTATGAAGATGCCTATGTGGTATATGATATGAGGAGGACTTTTATTCCCCTAGACTCTAAATATCTTATCTACCTACCTGTTATGATGCCTAAAATCCCACCATGAAATATTTAACAGGAGAGGAGGAGTTAGAAACCCCTGTTTAAAAAGTAAATACTCACAAGACCGGCAGTACTTTAAGTACTTTTTAGTCATTAATACTTTAGTGAGAATTAGTTGATTAGATTACTTTTCTAGCTGAGAGAAAAACCACTTGGGGATGAATCAAAGGATGAATTAATTTTGTTGAAGAGAGGGGAGAGAGAGAGGTCTGGGATAATGGGTCCTGCTTAGGAGGAGAAAAGTCTGGAGAGATTCCACAGTGGGGATACCCAGATAGCCAGGGCTCTGAGTGAGTGATAAGGAGGCAAGGGGTAAGTGAAGGCCCCTTGTGAGTTGAAAATCGGGGCTGAAAGTGAAGTTTGAGCTATTTGATGGTTTTGCCTTTTTTAAGGTTCATTTTTTGATATTAGCCTTGGGGTATATCATCATCTAAAAGCCAGACACTATGAATAAGCTGTCGTGGCTGCCTTGTATGCCAGAGAGTAATACCCTCTTGTAGGGTACAGATTTCACTGAGGTAGGTCTGAATCCAACCAGGATTTCTCATAGAAGATGAAGGTTCCTTGTCTCCATGCTTAACTTAAAGGCTCGAGCAGAGAGGTTGATGAAGTCCTCACTGGGGTCAGTGGGAGACCACCGTGAGCTGTGCTTCGCAGGGCAGGATCTAGCTCCTCGACCTCTCTTGCTGTAGTTGAACAACTTTGACCTTTTTATCTCATGAATCCTCTCCATCCCTTCTCTTTTCTCCTTGATAATGGACACATTATCAAAGATCCCAAATGCACATACATTCTAGATCTGAAGCTCTTTAAAACAACAAACAAACTTAAATACTGCAATTTAGCCATAATTAGCTTTCGGATGCAGATACAAGATAAACATCACATGAGAGTGCAATGTGAGTGGAGCTATGTTAAAGCTCAAAGTCTACAGGGCTGAGCTTACAGAACTAGGCCATTCCAGACATGGAGACGGGGAGGGGAAGCAAAAGCACACAAAGCAGAGCTGAGAAATCTACCACATTTGGCCGCATGGGATACAGTCTTTCATGGAGCTTTTTTAGCAAATACGGGCAGCTGGACGTTGTTGCTCATATCACTGTGGTTTCAGTCTGCAGGAAGGAGTGGGCTCGGGAATTCCGATGAAAATGTAAGATGCTTTCAGAGCCATTGCGAGAGATGGAAGAGCTGTGCAGCCTGTAATCCCGGCTCATGGACTGGTTCAGGCATAAGCTTCGCCATTTTCTCTTTAGCTCAAATTGCACCTGTGGGGAAGGAGTAGAAAAGGGATGGACAAGTCAAGAATGACCTCGTGTTTATTTTGTGTGGGCTTATACAGATATGTGGTGTCTCTCCCTCTAGAATGTAAGTTCTTTGAGGGCAGAGGCTGCCTTGTTTATTTTTATCTTCCCATCTCCTGCATCTACCACAGTACTTGGAACATAATAGGTACTATGAATGCTTGTTGACGGATTGATGAAAGGAAGAGTGAGTCTGGGGGAAAGAGCCTCTACTGGAGTCAGAGGATCTGGCTTCAAATCCTATCTCTGTTGCATGTGACCTTGTGCAAATAATTTAACCTCCCTGGACCACAATTTCTTTATCTATGAAATAGATGGACTACGTGGCTTCTCAGGATGCTTCCAGATCTATAAATAAAACTTCATAATGTTGCATGCGTGTCCTTGAAAAATGTGAGCCCAAGGTGATCATTAAAAAGACTTTGTTTCTTGGTTTAACCCCTATATTCAAGGCAAGACTCATTGTAGTCCCAGGCTTCCCCATGTCCACAATCAGGACAGTAATGGCCTAGTAGAAATAGACGAAAGAGAAGATTAAAGGATGGGATATGATAACTGCCTTGAAAGCTTGTAAAGAGCTGTCATGGAAGAGGGGAAGGGAAGAGGATAAGTATTTATATAGCACCTACCCAGGTGCCAGGGACTGTACTAAGCACTTTCCAAATATTATCACAATTGAATCTCACAACCACCTGGAGATGTAGGTGCTATTATTACCCCCATTTCATAGTTGAAGAAACTAAGGCAAATAGAGGTTGAATGATTCTATCTGGTGTCACATGGCTAATAAGCATCTGAAGCCAGATTTAAACTCTGGTCTTCTTAAGTCTTGGCCCAGTTCTCTATCTGCTATGCCATCTGCTGCTGTTGTTGAATCATTTTCCTTGTGTCTGACTTTTTGTGACCCCGATTGAGGTTTTCTTGCCTGAGATTCTGGATTGGTTTGCCATTTCCTCTTCCAACTCATTTTACAGATGAAGAACTGAAGCAAACAGTGTGAAGTGCCACACAGCTAGTAAACGTCTGAGGTCAGATTTTAACTCAGGAAGACGCGTCCTCCTGACTCCAGGCCTGGTCCTCTATCCACTATGCCACCTAGCTGCCTTTATATACACCCAGGGGTGTGTTGGAACCAGGTCAAATCAGGCTGATTATTAAATTTTCAGTGTGAGCATTTATATCTTGGATATCAACAAGCATTATACCTCAATGCTTGATTTATTGTTTTGTTCAGTGTCTAGACCTAAGAAAGTAATGGAAAAGATGTTAATGATACAGATAACCCTAAGAGTACATTGTGTGTGTGTGCATGTGTGACTGTATCTTTTTTTTTGGAGAGCTGGTTGTTAAACATTTACTACCACACTGCTGGATTAGGCTCATTTTTCTTGACTCTAGAAGGGAACAATAGGTAAAAGTTTCATGGAGGCAGATTTTGGCTACACTGAGAGCCCAATAATCCAAGGCTGTGGAAAAGTTGAATGGGTTGCTCCAGGTCAGAGCTTCAGGACCTCGCCTCAGCAGAGGTATTCAAAGACTAGAGGACTACCCTTTTGGTGTGTTGTAGAGAAGATTCTTCTTCTTCTTCTTCTTCTTCTTCTTCTTCTTCTTCTTCTTCTTCTTCTTCTTCTTCTTCTTCTTCTTCTGGCAATTGGGGTTAAGTGACTTGGCCAGGGTGACACAGTTAGTAAGTGTTATGTGTCTGAGGCCAGATGTGAACTCAGGTCCTCCTGACTCCAGGGCTGGTGCTGTAACCACTGTACCACCTAGCCGCCTGTGGGGAAGATTCTTGTTCAGAGATGAGTTGGACTAAGTGACCTCCGAGTTCCCTTCCAACTCTGAGATTCTGAAGCATAAATATGAAATGATGGCAAATAAAAAAGAAATAGAAGGAAGTGGGCAGAGACTCTTCTCTGATGAGAGAGTGCCAAACCTATGGGAGGGTCGAAGCTTTTAGTCACTAGAATTGAGGGAGATCCTAGAATGTACCGAGCGGTACCGTGGATAGAGTGCTGGACCTGAAGTCAGAAAGACTCCTCTGGGCAAGTTCAAGTCTGGCCTCAGGCACTCATTGACTGTGTGACCTTGGGCAAGTCACTTCACCCAGTTTGCCTTAGTTTCTTCATCTGTGAATGAGCTGGAGTAAGAAATGGCAAGCCACTCCAGTATCTGCCAAGAAAACCCCAAATGGGGTCACAAAGAGTCGGACAGACTGAAACGACTGACCGACAAGAAGAATGAATAGATGCTGGGCCATTCATACAAAGGAAGATTAGATGAGACGGTTGATTTAGATTTAAAATCTTTATGTTGGATATAAAACAGTATTTTAGAAAGCAAACCTTATGTTTATCATTTGTGTTTTCAGGTAGGTCAGGTCAATTTTCCTGTATCAGGAGTGATAATTGGGAATAGGCTTTAAATGACTTAAGGGTCTGCAGGTCAGCCAAAGTGGAACTGAGGGATTGTTTCCTGCATGTAAGGTCCTTAGGCCCATTTAGCTGGAAGGGCCCTCAAAAGTCCAACCTCTCATTTTGGAGATAAGGGTTTTGTTATTTGCCCAAGGTCACACTACCATCATCATAGCTAGCATTTATATAGAGCTTATTCCGAACCAAACTTTGTGCTAAATGCTTTACAGTTTTCTCATTTGTACCTTACAATACCCCTGGGAAGCAGGTGCCAGTATTTTCCACATTTTGCAAACAGAGGTTAAGTGACTTGGCCAGGGTCATGAAGCCAATAAGAGTCTGAAGCTAGATTTGAATTCAGCTCTTCCTAACTCTAGACCCAGATCTCTATATACATTGCACCATCTAGCTGCCCCATAAGTATCAGAATTTGAACCTGGCTCCTCTGACTCTAAAGGCAACATTTTTTCAACTCCATTTTGCTGTTTAAAAAGTGTTGAATTTAGGGTAAGAGGACTCAGGTTCAAATGGAAAGTATGTTTTCAGTCAGGATGCTGATGGAAAACACACTAGATCTATGTCAGAGACACAATGGGAAATGACAAGTAGTGCTGATGGGGTAGGCAGATGGAAAGAAATGAAGAGCCAGAGAATATTTTAGATGGGGCAGTAGAGTGGTCAAAGCCGAGGGCTAGCAGCGCAGTGGGTGGGTAATCACCCTTGGGAGCTTGGGTATGGGTATAGCCTGTGTATAAGCAGGTGGTAAACAGGGTGTCCACCCTGCATCCTACTGTCTCTAACAACTTTGCTTGTTGAGAATACTGAACTCTTCCTTTCTCATGTTCACTTCTGCATGTTAAGTAGCCATGGGCTGATTTCCACTATTTATCTGATTAAAGGATGGAGCAAGGTGACAGCAGCTGCAGTGAAGTGAGGACAGATGCTTATTAAAAAGCATGCAGGCTCTAATTAATTTTCAGCTTGAAATTTCCTGTTGTTGTCATGGGCCTAACAACCTGGCATTTCGGACTCTGTTGAAAGTGGTAGGGGAGACTATTTTGGTAACAGCATTTTACAGTGACTGAAGGAGAGAAGCATGTGACTTTTGGGGGTAGGGGTGGAGGAGAAGGGCAGTGTGGATTTTGTGAATGTGGCTTTGATGAAAATGACTCAGATGAGGAGAGAGTTACATGGAGTACAAGATGGAAGTTGTAGAGTAAGGAACATCTAAATTTGCAAGTGGAATCTATTTTGAAATTCCCTCTCCTTTCCTTCCCAGACAGTCCATTTTTTGTGTTAGAAGCCAGAGTGGTATTTTTTGCATCTTTTTGATGACTTAATATTTTATTTTCCCCCAATTACCCATAAAAAACAATTTTCAATGTGGTAGTCTTAACAAAAAAGCCAGATCCTTTTGATATGGATGGGCATTTTGAGATGACACATGATTGAGCAAACATTTTAGAAACCCAACTGAGAAAGTTAAAATTTTACCCATAAAGCCTGAGAGAAAGGCAAAGCACTTACTTCACTGTTCAAAAAACAGTACAGAACTGCAACAACCAGGCCCTGCAAATAGGAAAAGGGTGTCAGAGGTTATGAGGCTAAACATGAGAAACTTTGACAGAAAGAAGTGGCTCTGAGGATAACAGTACCTGGAACGATCCGATACATAGTTCAAACAGTATTTGATATTTGCTGGAAATGCCAATAGGAAATACAACAAAAATCATGTAGTGAACTCCAAACAAAGGGATGAGCAGCAGCGTGGACTTAGCGAGTCTCCTAATCAGAAGAAAAGAGATGGTCAGCTAGCTGTCTCTGCAGGTTTCTTTTCCTTTTCGATGCATCCTGAATATAGGTTCCAGATTTGATATTCCCAAGGCACATTTGCAACCATGTAATTTCCCGGCTCTGAAAGCTTCAGCATTTTTCTAGCACTTTGGGGATAAAAATCAAAGCTCTTAGTTTGGTACTTACAATAAGGGTCCTACCTAAATTTCTAGACTGATTTTCATATGATCCCCTCTCAAACATACTATACCCTGTCCAGACTGGCCTACAACCCGTGCCTTGAGGGCCATGCATAATCAGTTTACTGGGATGACTCTAAGGTTTTCTTACCTCCTTTACTTGGAATCTCTAACTCCTTTCGACGATCAGGTCAGTTTCTGCTTCTACAAGAAGCCTCACATGATCTACATATTAGTCAGTGTCCCACCTCCACGTTATTTTTATTTGTATACATTTTAGAGTTCCTTATAATAGCTAGCACTTATAGAGCCTGTTAAGATTTGCAAAGTGCTTCACAAATATTTCATTTTATACTCACAACAGCCTTGGGAGGTAGGCACTATTATTATAATATCCATTTTTATAGATGAGGAAACTGAGGCAAATATGTGACTTGCCCAGGGTCACATAGCTATAAGAGTTTGAGGCTGGATTTGAATTCAAGGTCTTCCTGACTCCAAGTCTAGTGTTCTATCCACTATGTCACCTTATCTGGTTATGTCTTGCCTTATGTTCTTTCCTCCCTCTTTCCCTCCTTCTACAGAATATAAGCTCCATGAGAACAGGGACTATTTCCTATTTCTCTTTCTATCTCTAGTGCTTAGCATAGGAATGGGATATAGTAAATGCTTTTTGGATTAAACTAAATGGGACACATTATGGCTTTTAGGAAGGTAGCAGAGTTCAGTGGATAGAAACTGAGGTTTTCAAACTGACTTGGTTTCTGTGTGATTGGTGGCGAGGCATTTAGAACTCTCTGGCCTCCTGTATCTCATCTCTACAATGGTAATGCCTACCTTTTAATTAATATTATTGTACTTCCTTATGATGCTCCTGTGTGGATGAATATGAGAACCTCATTGAAAAGCACTAAAAGTCTGAAAAGGAGCTATTTAAGTTTAAGGACTTATTAATATTGGACCTCACCACTTTATTGGTGAATGACAGCATAATGTACGGTATAATTCTCCATTCTCTTACGTTTATGGTTCATAGTACCAGGGCTGGAAGGGACCATCAAGTCATACACTCATGATTCTGAAGGTGGTAGGGTTTTCAGAGACCATGTCGATTCAGAGCTAGAAGGGACCCCCGAGACCACTGAGTCCAGCCTCTTCACTTTATAGGCGAAGCAACGGAAGCTTGGGGAGGTTGAAGGATTTGCCTGATGTCACATAGGTAGTAAGCCTCAGAAGTGGAACTTAAAGCTAGGTCTTGGGAATCTAGAGTTGGCATTCTTTCTACTCTACTATGCTGCTTTCCTATGCTTTTCCACGGCACCTAGAACTCTGAATAAATTGTAGCCTCCGATAGAAGCAATGGGATGCAGTGGAAAGAATGATGCAGGTGAAGGTGAAGGGCTTCAGGTCAAGTCTGACTCTGCTGTTTGGACTGTAGGAATGGTTCCATTTAACAACTCAGGACCTCAGATCTTCCTGTGTAAAATGAGGGAGTCGGGCTAGATGACCCATAAGGTCCTTTTCAGCTTTAAATCTATGATCTTATGATATAAAGGGCAGAATTGTAATACAAGTGTAATTCCATTAGTGTTCTTTGTACCAAAGCCATTTCCAAGTTCCAATAAGAGCTTTGTAAATATTAAAGCACTATGTAAATGTGAGCTATCATTATCACCATCACCATTGTTATTCCCGGCAGCCAGTCTGTACAAAGAATGCTTTATTGATCTAATTTAATGGAATTTTATATGGCAACAAACAATCATGTATAACAAATGCATTTTCTGGACCTTGCCTATGAAAAAGTCACTTCTGACAGTAAAGAAAACCCTTTCACTTTATGTTAATTTATATTGCATTCTTTTGATGGGGGAGGGAAGAGATGGGAAGTATGGCACTACACTTGAGCCAAGATGTACCTACTAAGTTTCATGTTTCTTTTGTCAAGTTGCATTCACAAAATAGCTATGACTTGCCCACTGTTATATAGGGACTTAGCAGCAGAACTGGGATTTGAACCCAAATCCAGCAACAGGTCCACTATTTACTAGCTGGGTGACTGTTATGCAAACCAGTTAATCTAGTTAAGCCTCATTTTCCTCAGCTACAAAATATAAATAATGACAAGGTCACTATCTACTTCACATAGTTATTGTGAGGTAAGTACTCTGCTGACTCAAAATACCTCAAAAATGTGAGTTGTTATTATTAGCATCACAATTTTGTTTCTAAAATAAAAGTCATCATTCTCCTAAGATATCCATGTGTCTAGCCTTGATCATAGGATGGACCAAAAGAAAAGGTCAGCAGTAAAGCTGTGCAAGAGTTACAAAAATTCAAATTTCAACTTAAAAGTACAACCAGGATGCAACATTCATGTCTTCCCTGAAGCTCCAAAGCCATGTCTAGAAGTCCTGAGAGCCCTACACTGGCCATTTCTTTCTAAATTCATTGCCTTGACTGTAAACCAATTTAAATTTAGCCCTTGCTTCATGGATGCCATGTTCTCTCTTTAGGTCTTACCTATCCACCAGTCTCTCCCTGGCTGCAAACATGAACATATCTTCCAAGGATACTGTCCTCTCTGATGGCAAGAAAAGGTAGGATAGAGTACAGTGACTTTTTCCTCTGTGCTTTACTCATTGAAATGGGCTCAGCATAGCCCATTCAAACCCATGTCGATGCATTTAGAAGGAATTTGAGTGTATTTAAGTTATTGTTTGTCCTGAGACTGTCAGCATTGCAGTAAACTGTGTAAAACTAAAATAAGAAATGCGTTGAATTTTCATGGTGTTCGTATGGGATCACTTATGTAGAATGAATTGGAATTCTGTTCCAGTGCTAAGAGGCAGCATCTCTTAAGAGCTCTAATTATTAGAGGATGATCACTCTTCTTAGGCGAAGGGACCATGCATCTCATAGAACCCATGACCTTCATTGGTCCCATTCATTCCGCACATCCTGACTGACTTAAAGTGAAGAACACATTTAATCCACTCAAGCCATTTTTAGTAGATAGTATAATTTACTGTGGCTTATTGTTTTTGCCCCAGAGGGTAATGAATCATCCTAACAAAAAGATTCAGTGATTTTATAAATTGTGCTCAATCTCTTGGCAATAACAATTTTTCTGTATCCTCAGTCTGCTCCTTCCACTCTCTGAGTACCAGGAAAAAGTCAGGATTCATAGGTGGACACAAAATGTGCATCTTTTTTGTCCCTAAGCTCTAGTATGTTCAGCTGAACTAATGACACTGAAATATATCTGATGTCCTGAGTTGTATTTCTTTTTCTCATTCTCCGAGGCTGAGAGAACAAGCCACTGACTGATTATAGACTTTAGTAGGCTGTCTGGTAGCATGAAGAGAAATTTTGTCAGTGGATTGCTACCCAACAAGGCTTTTCTCTTTGCCAGTGGAGACATGATTGGGAGTGTTCATTGTCTCAGGTCATCACTCAGTGAAGAAGTCATTTGGGGTTTTTAATAACTAGCCGATAATTGGAAGGTTGGAAAATGCAGGACAAGTATGGCACCTTTTCTATTTAAATTCTCCACAAAATCTTTCCCAGTTCCTTCGGCTGAATGTCATCTCTCCTCCTTCTGAATTCTCACTGAAGGGGTGTGTAGTACAGGGAGAAATTGAGAAATTGCAGGTCAGAGGATACTTCTGCCATTTACTGCCCATGTAATCACATCATACTTTGCATTATAATTATTTGTCTTATATTCCCTACCAGACTATTTACATTTCTTACTAGCTCTTGGAAATGAGAGACCATGATTTATTTTTCTTTTCACATCCAGAGTTTCAGCACAATGACTCTCCTTGCTCATGATAAATAAGCAATTTTATTCTGAATCCCAGTTACTCATTAAGTACTCATTTTGGTGATGAATTTTTTTATTTGTATATTAATTAGTATGCTCTGCTAAAGTTGCTTTGTGTGAATTTTTTTTTCTCTTCCTAACTAGGACCTAAGTTCTTTGAAAACCATTTTCTATGGTTAATTCAACAGACCTTCAGGAAATATCTATGTGGTTAATTTAACTTTGGGGACTGATAGGAAGTCCCCAGGAATCTTGTTTAACTTTTACCACTAATTGGCTATGTAATCTTGAGGAAATCACTATTTCTCTTTACTTCAGTTTCTTTACTCAGTTGCCCCATTTGTAACATGAAGATGGGATGGCAATGTGTCTATAATTTCATTGGTAGCCAATTAGCACCTGGCTCTGTAACTTGCCACCTCCACTGCCTTAGAATTTCCTATGGCACTGAGGTAGTGACAATCATATTCAGATAGTTGGTATGCGGCAGAGGTAGAATCTGAACCTGGACCCAGGTCCTACTGATTTTGAGTCCAGGTTTTTATCACTGTGCTATATTATCTCTCAACACAAGAGCGATCTTTGCCTGTGTTAGAGGACTATGAGAATACTTGAAGCAATATGTTTCTTCTTCTGGCAGAACAATCTTTGTTCTGAGCCTGTCAGCCATGTTTACAAGCACCAGCCCGTGTGCCCAAGTCTCAGAAGAAATGGATAATTTTTTCTCCTTTCTATTCCTATCTAAGTAGGCATTTATCCATTCATCCTACAAATATTTATTGAATACTTACTATGTAGAAGACAATATGCACTGTGCTAAGTGTTGAAAAAGAAAAGAAAATGCCTAATGCCATCTAAGTTTTACAACAACTATGTGAGTTAAGCAGGGCAGGTATTATTGGCATTTGACAAAGGAGAAACCCAGATTTTAGAGAGGTTAGAAAATTTGCTTGAGGCTATCCAGTAAGCAAGTGGCAGAGCTGTGACACAGACTTAGCAATGAATTGACTCCAAGGCATTATTCTTCCTATGATATCATGCCGACTCTACTGGATGGGATGCACACAAGTTTCAGACCTAACATAATTTCTTCGGTGGAATGATTTTGGATAATTCTTTGCAAATCTGGCTTTACATCATTATTTTAGACAAATTTCACAGCCTGCAGGATTTAGGGTTATGCTTTCAAAATAACATTTAGACCAAGAGAAAAAAAATCCCTAAATATCCCACCACTTTTTTTTTAATTACACCAGCTTGGGAAAATGGAAAAAATCCAAGTTCAGTCTCTTAGAGAACTTCATCTTTTCTTCCTCGGAGCCAGTTTCACCCCATGGTTTGTTAGTCTGCGTCATACTCATTAGGAACCATCTCTTTTTCATTATCAATACCAAATAGTGACTCCTCTAGTGGGAGGCTTTCTGCTCTCTGAATTTCAGGCTGTGACTTCTGGTGGCATTTTGGTTGGGGGCTGGAAATGAGGGATTGAATGTGGCATTAAGGCAGCCCCACATTTATGAATCCAAAAAATTTAGATACTGCCTGCTGTTACTAAGCCCAATGTTAATTACTTTAGAGTGACTTCAGAATTTTATCTCCAATGCTGGCTTTCTGGTTCTCTCATGGCAGGTGCTTGGAAACCTTGAACTCTAATCTACATGTGGTTTATCCCCTTGGTGGATCATCTATAGCCACTTCAAATGTTTATGAGCACAAATCTGTCACCTGCCAGATTTCTAAGCTTCTTCCCCCATCATCCTGCTAGTGAGTTCTCAAAGGCAAACATTTTACTTTAACTTGAAGCAAAGGATTGAAATAGAAAATCAGAGCCCAAGAGGCTTATTAATCACTTGTCACATAGATGATTCGTGACAAAGTTGGTACTAGAATATAAGTCTTGACACTCAATCTAGTACTTTCCTCCCATTATACCGCATGACTGCCCTAGTATTTGAGGAAGTTCTTCTGTCCCAAATAATATTTCACTTCTCAAAATCAGATAGAGATGATCTGTCTATTCTCTATTCTTAATGCATGCCCCAGAACTTCCCTTTTTCAATCTGTATGCTGAAAAGTGGAGGAAGGTTGCTGGGATTAATTCAGATCACATGCAAATTACAAATTAGTACAAACATGTATATATGCAAGCATATTAACATGCATGTAGGCATATTTACACATACACAAATCTACATAGTCTCTTCTACAAGATACATATACACATATGTATAACGTGTATATGTATATGTGTGTGTATGCATACATGCATGCATGCAAAATCTGGTGAGTCTCCAGTTATTGTGACTAGGTGTCACTTGTCCACCCCTCCTTTCTTCTGAGACTTAGTAGAGGAATTGAGTCTACTTTCTCTTGCTCTTAGCCTCAGTTTTCTCATCAGTAAAATGTGGGGACTGATTCCTTCCATTGGCAAGATTCTGAATAGGCTGAATATGCCTGTAACTTGGTGAAGTAAGTCTGATCCTTGCTTCAAGTGAGATGGTCCCAGTTTTTATGTCATAGAAGCTTAGTGTGAAAGGAACTTCTCCCGGATAATTTTTTTTTTGTACTTGCATTTGTTCATATTATTTCAACACACACACACACACACACATACATACACACGATATATGTATTTATACTCACTTGTACTGTGACTGATCATTGCCTCCAACATCTGGAGATCTTAACTTCTGCAGTAAAATTCTTATGATACTAATGAAAAGGATAAAATTCACCTGCTCCAAAAAGAAAGATTTGTAAATGATTTTGATTCCTTGCTTCCCTTGTCTGAACACTGAGAATGCCTCTGAAAGGTGGATCCTACTATTTGTTAGTGAAATTTCTATGTTCAATACCTACTAAATCACATAGGATTGTCTTCCTTCCTGCTTTGTTTATTTCTCTGGTTTTAACCCACGCAAGATTCTGAGAACTCTTTCCTCAGGGATGACACAATCGTCTTTAGAAAAATGATTTTATCTGATAAAGAAGTACATAATGAATACTGGTCCAGGGCATGAGGAGAACAGACAAAGCTCTCAATGTGATAAGACGGAAGATGTGGAAAAGCCCTCTTTCTTAAAAATATCTTCCTCATTTGCCGGTCACAGAACATTACACTTCTACCATCAGTTGCCTCTTTGGTGATTGTCCTCTGATGACTCCAGTTGAAAGGTAAAATATGTGATGAGAGGAGTAAAAGTAAAAGTTGACGTTAGCTTTGGGTAGGGATGAGTTAATCCAGTGTATTTGTCAGTCACTTAACAGGACCCTAAGGGGATGGGATATGGGCAGGTAACTTTTAGCATTATGAAGAGGTCAAGAAAGGCCTGCAGATCATTCATTCCATGCTGCACTGAGAAAGGCAGGACAAAGTAGGATCATGTTGGAGGGACTCAGCAGCTAGGGCAATGTAAGGGTCCTTGATGCTGGATAGAAGAGAGCTTGGGAGTAACATTAAAAAATGTCTGTGTATCTGTGTGTGTGTGTGTGTGTGTGTGGAAGGGTCATTGAAGGTAGAAGTTGGGGAGGATCTCAAGAATGGCTTCTATCTCAAGACTTTTACCACAGTCCCCTCTCATTTAGCCTCGACACTACTGATCTTCAAATAAGATGAACGACCAATGTTCTCACAAGAGTACTTTGGCTATCCGGTGGAAAATAAGCCATGGACAGCAGAGCTACCACCCCTTGGGAATGGTTTGCTCTTTAGAAGGGGAGTGTGACACAACTATTACACCACATCATCTTCTACCCTTTTCTCTCCATACCTCCAGACTTAACTTTTCCTTTCTGTAAGGGAAAATTGGGAAACTGCTATCTCCTTGTGGACCCCATAGGGATATTGGGCATGGCAGCAGTTTATAAGAAGTGTCAAGGAGAAGGGGAGAGGGTATATCTTAAAATTGGTAAAGGGACCTAGAGTTTTCTTTTCAAGACTTGATTTACTTTTTAAACCATCCATCCAGGCCCTGAAGACGGGAGGTATTGGTGGCAGAGGATGGGTACTGCCATAGAGATAAATATAGCGAAAGAGGCAGTTGGGAGGGGGCAGAGAGGGGAGAGGGAGAGGACAAGGACTTGTAGAGAATTTAGAAAATTTCATTCTACTCGTTCTGTGTGGGCTTTTTAATTGCTCATTATGAGAAAAGGGCAAGAACAAAGACAAATAAGTTAGAATCTTCAATATCTTCCAGGCTATGGATACAGTCAATCATTCATCATGATTTACGTTTGTAACAATGCTGGCAAACTGATTTTTGAAGGTGAAGCACACACCAATGGACATGCAATTAAAACCTAAAATCAAGCACATTGATTCAACTTGTGTCTAATTCCCCCTGAGGTTTCCCCTCTGCGCTAAAAGAACAAACTTTCTTCCTTCCACCCTCTTCTTTGCTCACAGATGAAGAATCCCCTCAGGCCTTCCTTAAACCACCCACTCTGACTTCTCTAATGGACAAACCATCACTTAAATAAGTCTAACTAGAGTTTTGCAAGGAATGAGTTCAGATTGCCTGGGTAACAGTGAAACTTAGGTGAGGTGGCTTCCTCAGCAGTCTGTATGAGATTGGGGTTATGTTTAATAAAAGAATAATGGGTTTTTTGTCATCTTAAGCCTGTGAATCAATGGAGGATTTGTCTTTCTGTCCAGGGTTTACTTACGATGATAGAAATTAAAATTGGTATTCGTATCACCCACCAGGGAACATTATGTTCATTTGTATCCCAGCAGCTATGAGAGATTGAAAGAGAGAAAGAGAAAAAGAGAGAATAAAAGAGAGAGAGAGAGAGAGAGAGAGAGAGAGAGAGAGAGAGAGAGAGAGAGAGAGAGAGAGAGAGAATATTATGTTAGGAGTAATTTAATCTGGCAAGGGATATAAACATCAGTGTGTTACACTTGGATCAGTTATGGTATTCACAAAAAACCCAAGAATTACTTTCACTGGCTGCTACTGTATGTACCATTTTATTTCTATAAGTTTGGTTTTGCCTTGCAATCTTTTTTGAAAGGCCTATTTTAGTCTGTTTTACATATCATAATTATCTTTTTACCTGGAGACTCTGGAGCAAATAACTAATAAAGAGTAATATTATTTAGTTTGATTCTTCTGGGTGTGATACTTTGGTGATGGAGGCTTTGGAGACAAGTGCATGGCCATGGAATTCACAGGGAAGTAGTAGGTCCAAAAAGGATCTTGCCATGGTTTGGGAATGGAACTAATTAATCTACTGTTAGTCCCAGACCCAATTCCTAGTACCACAAATATGTAACACACATACATAGATATACACACATAATCTATCTGATATTTAGGGTTTGGTCTTGTTTTGGACAACTAAAGTGGGTAAAGCAGGAAATATATGAAGTTTGGGTTTTGGAGGGGCTGGCAGAGGTAGTCACAGACTATGCATGTGTGTGGTGAATGTGATTTGGTGGGGAGATGTGTATGTATGGGGGAGGCATTTGGGTGAGCAGGGATAATGCTGGCTCAAGGCCTAAGGGTGTCTATAGAATATGATGAACTTTCTTACATTGAATGCATTTTATACTTGCCCTACCAACTCAAATGGAAGCAAAGTTAAGTAAGGAGGTTGGGTGCTTCAAAATACATTTCTGCCATGAGAGTGCTTAGAGACAGCCCCACATGACACAGCATAGGGGAATGAAAGTGTTTAGAACTTAAGCAAGGAATCTCTGTTCCCTATCTTTCCCAAACTGTAAGAGATTTTAGGACAAGGACCTAATTGAAATTCTCGATAGCTCTGTTTTTTAGCACCATGTGACCAGTAATTGATGGTGAGATGCCTGATTTTAAGAGGTTCAAATTATCATCATTCCTCCAAAATGTTTAACGTTTTTTTTAATTACTGCCTTTTGACTTAATATGTTATCTTTGGCTGTGTCTCCCTCCCCCATTCCAACCAAGAAACAGAGAAAAGAGTTAAACCTTTAAGCCAAATCAACCAACAGATTGTGTATTAAATGTATTACATACCCATAGACCTCCACCTCTCCAAAGAATAGTGTGTAGTATACCAAAATTTTATTTTTTAATAGTAGAAAAGCCTGGTGTTACCAAGCTACTTAGTCTGAATAATGAATCCTTACTCATGGAAATGAAATCAGTCAATCAGTTTTTATTATATGCTTACCATGTACCAGGCCCTGTGCTAAGTGCTAGAATAGTCTCCTTTCCTTAACTTGTGTAATGAAGGATAATGCCACAATAAGTCCTCTTGCTATCCAGGCAACATGGTATATGAATTTTTCATTTAGAAGACTTTCTTAAGGAGCAAATGCATAGTTAGCTAGACTCTTTTCATGCAGTCCAACATAATGCACCTCAACTGCTCTCATCAACAATTTTCTCAAGGTAAATTTTGAAGTACTTGTTCTTCTCTGTTGCCCAGAGGGCTAGATTTTGGCTCCCATTAAAGACTGAATCTTGAGTCCGAGGGTGCAGTGTCATTTCTAGCCCTGACTGTAATCGTATTCTTCTCTTAGGAACTTCTCATTGCTTCTTACTTACGCTGGCTGTCCCCCATGCCTTCCATGTACTTCCCCCAAATCTTTCCCTCTTAGAATCTCTTGTTTCCTCTAAGACTCAGCTTAAGAGCCACCTTTAACAAGAAGCCTTTCCTGATCCTCCAGTTACTAGTACCTTAATCCCTTCAATTACTTTGTTTTGTTTATATGCTATATTTTGTTTATATAGCTATATATACCTAGATATATATCTAGATCTCTGTGTGTGTGTGTGCGTGTGTGTATGTGTGTGTGTATATATATATGTATATATATATACAGCTTGTTCAGAGATATATATGTATGTATCTCTGAACAAGCTGTTTCCCCCATAGAATGTAAGCTCCTTGACACCAAGAATTATTTCACTTCTGTCTTGTGTTATGTACATGGTTCCAGAATGCTTTGAGACATAACTTTAAAACAGCTTGGGATCAAAATCCTGTTGTCTTTTTGCCAACAATCTCAAGCACAGATTTGATAATCTATTTATAATTATTGATGGGATGGTTTAGTTATTTTCTCTATCCTCTCTTGTCACTTACTTGAGTCAGTGCCAAACCTCTAGGTTTGTCAAACCTTATGACTCAGCTCGAGTTTTACTTAAAGACATCCTTCTGCAGTTTTGAATCTTACCTAGAATGGTTTTCATCTGCATCAGGCTCTCCATTGATTATATCCCAATCAGTAATTTCCCAGTGGCTATTAGTTCCTTTTTCTTTTTAAAAATTGATTTATTATTTATTTTTTAAAACATTTTTCTTTTTTAATTTTGAATTCCAGCCTTTTCCCACCCTCTAAGAAGGCAAACAATATGATATCAATTATACATGTGAAATCATGCAAAATATATTTCCATTTTAGCTATATCATAAACAAGAGAGCAAGAAAATTATACATCAATTTGTACTCAGAGTTCATTACTTGTTTCTCTGGAGGTGGATAGACCTGTTATTTAATTCTCAACATAGTTATATCTTGTCCCTTCCCCAATTAAAAAAATCGTTAAGTTTCCTGAGGGGTGGGACTGAACCTTATATTTCTTCATATTGCAAGTGTGCCTAGCTCAGTGCCTACTTCCAGACCAGGTATAGATTAGCTAGATGCCCAATACACATTGGTTCGTCTAATTTGATGATGAAATGAATGGGATGGTGCTTACCCAATATCTTCTAAGAAGATCCTTGTCACAGTCCACACAACAATAAAGATTGTAGGGATTCCTGCAGAAAGACATTTCATTAATCAGATCTCCCTGAAGGATTCAGAATGGTATTAAATCTTAGAATTTTTGAGTGTGATAAACCAAGAAAGGACATTGCATGTGTGGAGAGTGAAATACCTGAAAACCTCAATTAACCAGACTGTTGGAAAAAGAACTTGTTCCACAGAGTTCATCAAAGGATTAGCAAAAACTCTCTTTTGTTCCAGCGTGTGTTGCTGAAAATCTTTCTAAAATATATCACTCTATATTTCTTCCTTGGTAAAGTGATCCCAAAGTCATAAGAGACATGCGGAGTGAGCCTTAGAAGACTGCTATGGGTGACTAGTGATGAACTGTCCATCAAGAAATGGCATCAGGGATATTATATGACTGGAAAAGGGGGGTGGCCCAGTTGGGAAGCAAGCCCAAGGAATGACACACATGAGTGCTACAGCCTGAGTGCTACCATGATAACCATGGACTATCAGAACACTAAGACAAGTGCCTCCAGTAGTTTGAGTGGATCTTCTGTGTAGGATTTATGGGAGGAGATAGACAGGAATCACATAGGATGAGGCTTCAGGGATAAGTTATGATCCATACCACTGGAGGGATTATTTATACCAGAGGTATCAAATTTGGCTCTCAGGGTACAGCAAGTAGCCAGCAAAAGTCCACAGTGCTGCCTGAACCAGATTGAAACGTAACTGGAAGATATTTAACAAAATAAATCAAAATACAATACAATATAGATGATGTTAATTTGTGGTATTTAAATCAATAAGGCAGGGATCTATTCCTAGACTACACTATCTCTACACTGTCAAGATTAAATACCCACTGGAGTACTAAAGAGGTAAATAGGGTTCAATGGAGATATTTACATCTTGGCTGAAAATCTTGTAGAGCCAGAGGGACATCATTCTCCATATCAACAGTCATTGATCAGGACTATATATGAAGAGATATGAGTTTGGGGTAGAATGTAGACTGCCGGTAGGGTGTTGCTATTCTTAAAAAACAAAACAAAATAAAACAAAACAAAACAAAACAAAAGCTCAAAGCAACTAAATTCTAGATAAGAACTCCTTTTGTTGTGATTTTCCTCTTTATCACAACCAGGATGGCAATCAGCCTCTGGGGCAGAAAGGTAACAGCTGATACTAATTGGCTTAAGTAGGGCACCTGTATCTGCCTGTAAGGCAGCAGATAGCAGCAGGGTGAACTGGGGGTTTGGGGTGGGGGTTGGGTTAGCCTTTTAGATTGTGGTCACTGAGCTGCGTATGTCTTTTAGAAGGAGGAGAATAAGAGGAAGATGAGACCTCTTTGTGAGTCTGGGTGACTTTTCCTGTATGTGTCTACTTGAGTTCTCATTACCGAAAGAAATGTTTTTATTCTTTCAAAAGAAATCATTTTCTAACAAGAATCTTCTAATTCGTAGGCTCTCCTTACATTTTCTTTCTTTCTGACTAAACTATCATGTCTATCTGTACTGTTGGCACGTCTCCTCTTTGAAAACAAAAGACGAAAAACATATCTTTTAAAAATGGTGTTATTGCTAAAGGTCAGAATAATACAGTAGCAGTGCCACCTTCTACAAATACCCCAATACAAACACACACCCTGGGGAAATTTGTGTACTGTGGGCTGTTGCATAGACTGCCTGAAGTCTCAGACATAGGATATATGGAAGGGCCAAGCAGTGATAACTCTGTCATAAGATCAATGACAGCTTCATCCTTAATACCTTTTGAGCCATTTTCTGGTGTCTCTAATGCCTTTTTAAAGGTGGGACTCTGGCAGTCACTAGTTGTGGGAACTTTACATTAAAATGCAGTGTCTCTCTTTATATCTCATGCTTTCCTTGAATTCCAGTTAATTAGAGGTTTCTGTTAGTTGGGCTCTTAGCTCCTCAAGACTTCATTTTATAAGGTCTCTGCTTGTTTATACATCCACAAGAAAGTAATCAGAGGCAGAAAGAATGAGGTGAAATCAGGTGGTTTTATTTTTTTATTAGAAGTTTAGTTAAAAGGTTTGAATGACAACCCTTCATTTCCCACCTGACCGATCTCCTGGATTTCATGATCTTCAGAAACTCATTCTGCAAGATGAAATCATCCCTGAAACTCACATCTCCTCATGTCACTTCCTGACTTCAGGACTTCATCATACCCTACGTCAGGTACCTTCCCCTTTTCTATTTCTTTTCTGTATTGTCTTCTCCCATTAGATTGTCCGGTTATTGAGGGCAGGGACTATCTCCTACTTTTCTTTGTACCGCTAGCACTTAGCACAATGCTGACACAACAGTAGCTGCTTAATACATATTTATTGACTCTGGCTGTAACTCTGACAAGGTAAAGAAGGATGAAGAAAATAACCAGAAAGGAGAGAGTTTAAAATTATTTATGAGAAGATTATTGAAAAAACATATTTTAGGGCAGCTAGGTGGCTCAGTGGATAGAGCACTGACCCTGGAATCAGAAGGACCTGAGTCCAAATCCAGCCTCAGACACATAACACTTACTAGTTGTGTGACACTGGACAAGTCACTTAACCCTAACTGCCTTACCCCCCCAACCCCCCCCAAAAAACAAACAAACCACATTTTAAACAATCTGTCAATTTATATTATTGGTGTTATTTTGGTCCCTAGTTATCACAAATATTTGAATATATGTTAAAAAAAATTTCGACAAACCTCTACAAAGGTGTAGCTTTGAGATCCTGAAAGGTAAGCTTTCATGGACTCTAAAAATGCTTTGCCGTGGGGTTAAATCTGTCTGCTTTTGTTGGGTCAGATGATGGGTGACTTGTGAGCTGAGATGGTTACGGGTAAAAGAATGTGTGGGAGCACAACCATAAATGAGAACTAGCTCAAGTGACATGGAAGCTAACCTGGATAATCACTGAGGCAGGGAAGAAGATATTGGATATGAGAAAGAACCAAATTCTTAAGAAATTCTTACCCCATCCAATCAGAAGATACATCAGGAAATGTCGGTTTGAGGAAAATATAACCATAAGGAGTGTGTGGAGGTAAAGCCCTTCCACCAGGAGCCAATAAAAATTTGCCATGATACAGTACTGGAAAAACACCAAGCTCAACTTGCAGCCAACCTGAAATAATACAAACAAAGAGTAAGGTCTGCTGAAAAGAAGAGGGAAAATGTGGTAACAGGCTGAAAATAGCTCATGGCAGACAGAGATGCCCTAGTACATATTATGTCCCTCTGTTTGAGTTGGGAACAAAGGACAAATTGGTGTGCTGTCTAGGGAAGGGAAGTGATTAATATAAAGTATTCAGGGTGTTTATATAAATGTGAAAAAGAATGTATGTTATGTTAAAGTAAGCCCCCATGTGTGTATCTGACACCCTGTGAGACTATTTATTTGGGCATATTAAACTCACTGTTAAGATAAACATTTTTTTAAAGATAAATGTAAATAACTATCTCTAAGAATAGTAAACTCATAACTTTCAAGTCAACTGCTGGAAGGTTTAACTAAACAATTAGGTTTTTAAGCACATCCCTCTAACTTCTCTTTCTTCCTCTCTTTGTCTTAGCCTCTCTTGTTCCTTGGGCTGTGCCATTTTTCTTTTTCTTTTTTTTTTTTTGGTGGGCTTACTTATGCTTTGCCCTTCTCTGCCTTGTACTATCCTCATGACTCTTCTAGTATCAAATAACATCACTGGAGAATAATAAGGGGTTATTCTTTCCCTTATGGGGGAGGACATATTTCATTTATCTGGGCATATAGGTTTTTAGAGGGGTCCATAGAAAAATCATTGGTAATGGTATGGCCAGAGGAAATTGTCGAATTGGAATCTTCTCTTATAGGAATAGGGAGCCTCAAAACCACATGTGGCCTTCCATGTCCTCAAGTGTGGCTCTTTGAAAGAAACTAAACTTCACAGAACATTTGACCTCAAGAACATTTGTTTTATGAAATTTGGATTAAGTCAAAGGGCTGTACTTGAGGACATGGAGGGCCACATGTGGTCTCAAGGCCACATGTTCTCCACCCCTATAAAGTATGTTCAAAATCAGAAAGGTGTGGAAACTTTCTGAGCCATTTATGGACATTAATTAGTGCTTGGACTGGTCTCATGAAAAATCAGCACCCAACAATGTTAATAATTGTTTCTTTTTATTAGACATAGGATGTATATATGGAAAAGGAAATGGGTTTGTATTTAAAGAAGCTAATTTTACTTCAGATTGTCACCTCTGAAAGGCTTTGGGGGGGCTAAGGCAGGAGATCCTAGCAAAAAAGAGATTTCTGACATACTATCTGGTGGATTATAGGTGTAGAATAGGGTATCCATTGTCAGATATAGCCAATGTATTTGGTTTACCTACACTTCTTTGTTAGAAAGGTGGGTTCTAGTTGGGGAATGAGGAATCACTGGAAAGTGACAATGGTGTTAAAAGAAACATTAATAACATATTTATTTTAAAAAAATGTAATTTCTGGCTTTTTCCATGAATTTTAATCATTAATGTTAATTGTAAACTCTTATATAATAAGGATTATAGTTTTAATGTTAGGAACTTTAATATGAAATAGGAAAGCCTAAAAAAAAAACAAACAAAAATTTGGAAGGAAAATCTTATTGCTGCCAAGACTTTTTTTAATTTTGTGAAAGTTGCTTTTGCATATTTCTTTTTTCTTCATTCCAAATATGCCTAATGAGATACTTTGAAGAATATGTTATATTATGCATAATATAATAAACACTTGTTGAATTGAATTTATGAACATGCCACCTGTGGTACATTATTGATACATTTTTATCATCTCAAATTCAACAAAATGCCTTTAGATCTGTAAAAGGTGCTCTTAAGTATTGAGTACATTTCAGTTCTCCCCAAAAGACCCTCATATTGGCTCCTAAGGAATTCCCTCTCCACTGCGCTCTTCCTCAATCAGTTTCCGCGTTTCTAGGAAATTTTATGTTTTCATTTAGATCAGAGAAAACATGCCACGAGGCAGGGAGCCAAAAACAGTGGCACAGTCACAATAGTCAGGGGGGTTTAAAGTCTTGGTTTTCCAACAAGAATATACTACCCTGTTTTCCATTATTTCACTACTGTATTTTTTCTGACTGTGTTATGGGTATGCCTCTCACAACACTGTGTTGGTGTGTTTGCTAAGCATCAGAACCGCAGAGCAGCAGTAATTTTAGCCATGGAATCTCATTCACAAAATGGAAAAAATTTCTTTCCATTTCTATCTTGTAAATTTAGATAATGAGATGAGTGTGAGATATTTTCAGGAGTTGGCCTTGGCTAGGTATTTTACTATTCAAATGCCTTGACCTTACTCATGACCTCACAGTATATACCATTCCAGGTCAAAGGACTAGAATTTCCCTTGGTTGATTCTAATGTATGTGACAGGTTTGGGACTTGAGAAAGTTCTCATAGGTACCACATTTGATAGCCATCTGGCCCATGATGAAGATAAACTATCGATCTGTTTGTCATGGAAGCCTTTTCCTCTCATAGATTTCTATTCTTAGCATCCCTTCTTGGTCAAACTTACCTTATACTACCTGCCATGTTTGTCCAACCCCAGTATACTTCAGGACAGAGTGGCTCTTCAGTGGGTCATTTCTAGCATTAACCAGGGAATTTATGGGTTGTCCACAACATTCTACAAATTTGGCTCCTCTCAGGGTCATCCCGGGAGGCTCCTAGTGTCCCTGTTCACACCTCTTGATCAATGGTGGCAACTAGCTGAAGGTAACATACTTAACACTGAACAGTATCTTAGGTTTCTGCTGTTTGGAAAGTCAGGCCAGCAACTAAATTTAGTTGTGCTGCCTTTGTCAGTTGATCTGTCAGCTAGTAAATGTTTAACAGGAGTCTGGAAGTTTTCAGTGTTGAAAGGGGAACATTTTCAGACTCTTGGCTACCTACTCTGCCCTGCCAACATCTCGAGAAAAAGTCCTTCACCACCTATTTTGGAAGACCTGCCTCAGAAATTCTGTTTCACAGAACAGTATTGACTAAGCCTGCTTGGAAACATAAACCCCAAGTAACTTCTCCTTTTTTCTTTCTTTCTTAGAATGTATCTTTTTATCCAAATTTCTGATTTTCCACTCTCTGAGGAAAAAACAGCAACAACAATAACAAAAACCTGGAAATAGACCCAGCTGTATCTTTTTTCTTTTTCCTTTTTCTCCTTTTCTCCTCTCTCTCTCTCTTCTTTTATTGTCTCTTCTTTCTTCCCTTCCTTTCATCTTTATTTTTATCTTTTGGTGAATAGAGGGGATAGCAACAGTGGCAAAGACATGACCAGAGAGGAGGCATAGCTGAAGAATTCTGGATACTCATCTACCTCTTTCCACTTTGCTCAAATTAAGTTTCAACTGAAGGAGTGGATCGACAAGTGGAAAGAACATGGTCATCTACCATTCTCTTCTTCTCTCCCCAATTTCTCTCTAGGGAATCCTTTTGGGCATTATACCCTTGCCATGCCTATCATCCACAAATATTTACCAAGGCTGCCCCCTAGATTGGCCACTTAGCATTTGACCTATGAAGGTACTCAAGTGATTCAAATATCTGAGTTCTACCCTTTGGAATGCTTGATGGACTCTTAGGTTAGACTGATTGCTCCGGCACTTCCTTGGAAAACTGCCCACCATGGTCTAAAGGGAGCCTGGAGGAAATGAGGCCATAGCAAAATCCTGTATGTCATACCAAGAAATCATTATGAACAGAGATGTTTAGTGTTCAGAGTATGATCTTATCATCTTCCCCACCCTTTCTGTCAATTCTCAGGTCTTATTTAGTGAAGGGTGGGGGAGGCAACTACCCAGAAATTAAGAGCAAAAATTCTCTTCACCTTCAAATGTTACCTTTTCCTGGGCACCGTGGCCAAAGTGTCCTGTTTCCCATCACTGGATTACAGGAGGGTATCATTCATTAAATCAATTTGCATGTACCTTAAGACAAACCACTCTTGACAACATAAGTCCCTGAAGGAAAAGAATGAAGGAACATAGTGGCTTTGTTCTTAGTACTAGATGTATATTTGTCCCATTTAGTGCTATAAATGACTGCTATTATATTGGAAAAATAAAACGTAATAAGGTGAATTCCAGGCTAAGGCAGTCTTTCAAGTCATTCATCTGGGAGCAGTCGTGCCAGCTGTGTAGTCCACTCCAGTGGAATGTGGATGGGAGATTCTGACAAACCCAGTTGTTTATGAACCAAACAGAAGTTCCGAGGTTCCCAGTAGCCCAGCAGGGTCAAGCCTAACCTGACAAACCTCCCATCCTCAGAACAATACAAGAGAGATTTGACTATGACTCAGAGGTCTTGGCCATATCGTAAAATGGCTATCAAACAAATCACCCCAGAAGGATACCTGAAGCGCTATGTGAACCAAGGGGAAAACAACACTGACAATGAAATGGGTGGAAAATACATCCAGTTTGGAGAAAGGATTCTTCCTCCTTACACTGAGGCTATGAGGATAAAAGGATTTAGTGTTAGAAGGGGCCATCTATGAAGTACCGTCCTGTATCTTAGCATAATAAAACCGCTTGGATACTTTATGTCATTATAGCTTGAACATGCTTTTTATTTATTTAAAATTTTAATTTTAATTTTATTTTTGCAAATAATGAGCATTTTAAAAAAAATCTCTGTCCCCCTCCCCCATGGGAGCTTGTGTCATAGTATAAGCTATTCTCATTTGCTTAATGATTCTAGTTCTGGTTTCTGGCAAGAGACAGTTACTCCTTGATGATTCTGTCCCCCTCCCTTCCCCGCCAGCAAGGAGTCAGAAGATTCAGAAAAATGGAAATTTCTTTGTGCTAGGATTCTCCACTGGAAGCTGTTACTAATCCCTTTCCCAATATGTCCCACCTCCACAGGTGCCATCCACTTATTAATAAGGAAAATGAAAAATAGATTATAGAGCTTTAAGGCTTGGCAGAGTGCTTTACATGTATTATCTTATTGGATCTTCCTTATGACACTGAAGTAGGTCTTATTATTATCCCCATTTTACTCATGAGAAAACTGAGGTTGAGAGAGGTTTAATAAATAACTCACCCAAGGTCATAGCTAATGACTTGCACTCAGATTTTCCTGACTTCAAATCTAGCACCCTTTCCACTATGCCATCTTGCATCAGGGATTAGACTGGCTTCAGTAGGACTGGCCCTGGCCACACCTGAACCATAGAAAAGTCTAGAAATAAGGGCAAGAATTTGCTTCATTGATCAGATGCCATTGCCATTGGCTCATATTTCTTCTCATTTTCAAGTCCTCAGACTCCCTAGCCCCCAACCACTTGTCTTGGATCATCAGATACCTTAGTTATGATCCTGTCCTGTGTCTTTTCAGACATTCTGCTATATTTTTTTTGTCTTTCGTGGTAGTGACCTCTAACTTGGCCTATCCTTCCAAATCTACATGTTTGCCTGCTGACTGTTCATCCTCTCTGTCATTGGCCTATGATAATGTCCTGGGCTCCTTGTCCTGGTCACTGGTGCTCAGCCAACTGTATCCTAGTACCATGATACTCTGCAATGATAAGAAGTCAAAATGGAGAGAAAGGAACAATTTTCATAATAATGCCGATGATGTAAAAGAAAACAGTGCTGAAAGACACCAGAGCTCTCATCAATGCAGTGACAAATCATGAATTCAGAGCATTGCAGTAAAACATGACTTTCTCTTCTCATCAGTGAGGAAGTAGACAATAGGTACAGAATGAGACATACTTTTTCAGTCTCGGCCAATGTTTTGAGTTACTTAGCTGTGCTTCTTTGTTAGAAGGGAGTGTTCTAGGGCAGGGGTAGAAGTTGTCATCGGAAAATGACAGTGATATAAAGAAAGGCTTCAATAAAAATTTTATTTTTTTTTAAATGGAGAGAAAGGAATCAATTTGGCACAAGGTTGTTCTGCTCCTCTTGGTGAACATTGTGGGCTTACCAGTGCTAATGTCTATAAAGTTAAGGAAGCAATTATGTGATTGTTAAGAACAGTCACAGAAGGGAAATCCTTACCCATGAAGATGCCTGGTCCAGACAGTGGAGAGCACTAGAGTTAGAATAAAGAATGTCATCCTTGACTAAAACAGAGATAGCTCTCAAGATGAAAGAGAGGAAAAGGTTCAAATGGATGTAATTCCTTGTACAGTGCAGTTTCCTAGAAGAGAGAAAAATTTAAATACCATATTTTAAACATCCTCAAGAATGAGGTATTTTAATAATTTGTCTATTATCATTTAATTTGGTCTCTTAAGTGAAACCAATTGGAAGCCAACAGCTCTTAGTTTCTCCATGTGCCTGGCATCAGCTTCACAAAGCAGATGAGAGAGTTAGACATTCAATTCATAATATTTTTTTGAGGATTTAAATTCCTCACTTCTGCAGTGCAATGTATAGCGTGCTGGATCTGGAGTGAGGAAGACCTAAATTCCTATCTGGCCTCAGACAGTGTCCATACACAACAACAACAATGATAATAATAATAATAATAATAATAATAATAATAACTAAGCTTTATGCAACCCTTACTATATGCCAGGCACTGTGCCAAGAGGTTTACAATTATTTCTTTTGTTCCTCACAACATCACTGGGAGGTAAATGCTATTATTATCTCCATTTTACAGATGAGGAAAGTGAGATAAACAGAAGTTAAGTCACTTACCCACAGTTATACAGCTTGTAAGTGTCTAAAGCCATATCTGAACTCAGGTCTTCATGACTCCAAGCCTAGTGCTCTAACCATTGTATTACCTAGCTGCCTCATAAGTCTTTTAACCTCTGTATGTCTCAGTATTCTCATTTATAAAATGGGGATAATAGCATCTTCCTCCCAGAGTTGCTGTTATAATCAAGTGTGACAATATTTGTTAAGTGCTTTGTAATCTTAACATGTGCTTTAAATTCTAGTTATTATTATCACAGTTGTTATCTACCATGCCTGTCTCTCAGTAAATTTTGTATCAGCTGACCAGCATTGAGTGCCTAGGCTCTGATTTTTCATCCTTGTCCTTTTTGGAGGCAGAAGAGATTTTGGGAGGCTGCATACATTCCTCCTTGATATTGTCCAATTCTCTTCATTTCTCTTGACATGAAAACATTTTCCAAGCAGGCAAACTTTCCCTTGCTAATTAATGTCTGGCTTCCAAGGTTTTGCCTAGACTTTTAATGGCTTAAACATTTGTTATATAACAGTAGTTGTCATTTAGTTATATTTTCCTTTGTCACACACACTAACCTAAAAATCTCTGAAATACAAACCACTGGCAGACTTTTTAAAAAAAATTATCATTACCAACAAAAGAAATGGTGCTCTTCATCAGAATGGAGTCCCCAGGACGCAAGCAAAATAACTCACCCCAGAACTGAACCCTGGAACTACAACTGGATTGATTGATAGGAGACATAGCTTTTCCCTATGGCTAATATGAAATGCATTTTGCATAATCTCCCACCAGTTTCATAATGACTCTGGTTATAACATTATACTCTTTATTTGCCTCATGTAAATCTCATGGTTTGGGTTTTTTCTCCCTACTAATTACAGATGGAAGATTTGTGCTTTCCTTCTGTTAATTGTTCTTACTTCTTGCTTTTGATAAAGTGCTGAGCACCACAGTAGAATAATACTGGAAGAGACCATAGAGGTCATCTGGTCCAACCTCTTCCTTTTAGAGGTGAAGAAACCAAGGCTCAGAAATGTTCAGTTCATTTCTCAAAGTCACACCGTAGAGCCAAGCCAGATCTAGAACCAGCATGAAGTAGTGTAGCAGCTCTCAAAGTGTGGTCTGCAGACCCCTGGGGCTCCCTGAGTTCTTTTAAGGGAACTTATAGGATCAAGACTATTTTCATAAAAATACTAAAACATTATATACCTATTAAAATACTCCTCCCTTTTCCAACTACTTATCTGTGTAAGGTTAGATTTTTTTTTTCATATATTTCCAACAAAACAAGAGATTGCAATAGATTGAATGTAGAAGAAGACTGTCTCCAGGTCTAACTTACCTTATCTTTAAAATGTGGGGGTTAGACTAAATGGTCTCTAAGGTCCCTTATAAATTCTATTACTATATAATCCAGAGAATAAATGGATTTGTAAAAATATATAAAATACTGCCATTTTTCTCACTGATTTTTTTTTATTTTGGAAAATATAATTATTTTTTGTAAAATGTGTTTTGTTAACCCAAATGAATTTATTATTTAAAGATTTAATTAAAATGTAATTAAATTAATTTAAAATTTAAAAAATTTTAAAATTTTAAAATGTAAATTTGAATTTAAAAATTGAATTTAAACAATTTTAAAGTTAAATGACAAAGAAAATTAAATTAAACTTTTAATTTAATTAAAAATTTAAATATAAATATTTAAAACTTTTATTTCTAATAAGGTAAATATTGGTAGCTATAACCCACATAAACAAAAGCTTTTTTGGGGGGGTCCTCAAAAATTTTAAGAGTATAAAGGGTCCTGAGACCAAAAAGTTAGATAACCATTGATTTAGTGGAAAAAATATCACATGGGGTATCAGAAAATCCAGCTCTGGCTCTAACTTACCGTGTGCTCATTTGGCAGGTCATTTAATCTCCCCAGATCAAATTTACTCTAACTTTAAAATGAGAGAGTTGGAGTAAATTGCCTCAAAGGTCCCTTAAATTTCTATTACTACACAACCCAGGTCTCCCAATTCTCAGACTAATGCTCTGTCCAGCACACCAAGTAGCTTTCAACCAATCTTCTCTTCATGGATTGCTGTGCTTCATTGATCTTCACTGAATGCAGCAAGAACTCATTTATATGACATTATTGATGAATGAATTGTCTCACAGAAGTGGATTTTTCAGATCGCTGAATTTTAACCATTGAATTGCTGGAATTTTAAATACTGTTTTTTATGTTAATATTTTAAAAATGTTTCTAAAAATATTTACACTTACCAGTTTCCACACAGGCTTAGTAAACAGTATATTGACCATAATTCGACCTTGGTTGAATGACTTGGAGTTATATTATTGTGCATATCAATGACAGTAGCTTAAAGCAGTTGAGGTTTGAATGCCTCTTCGTTCCTACACTCCAGAGTGATCCTAGCTAATCTGTGTCCTTAGAGATAGCTCTTTTATCTCTCTCTGGTGCTGTTAGAGTGTAGTTCTCATTACTCCTGTTGCCATTTCTACTCTTCACCATTTTTGCTGCCTGTTGTCCTTTTCCATGTTAAATCAGAATTTCTATTTTCTTCTGTCATATTGCTTTTTCTTGCTACTTTCTCATATTTTTTGGCTTTCCCTTGAGTGGGGCATACATCATTGTCTGGCAAGCCAGTGATAGTGTTTCTTTCCTTTTGGACAGCCAAATACCCAATCATAACCCTATGCACATAATCTTTCAGTCTGGAGAGCATTATTTTTGTTCTTCATTGCTCAGTGCTCTTTTTTTTCCTTTTTGAGTGTGATACTATTCTGACTAGGACAGGTTGGCCTCAAGGCTGAACTCCAGGGAAATGAATCTTTATTGTATAAAGTTAGAATAGTAAGAAGGCAATGCAGTTCAGCCTTGTGGAAGAAATAGAACAAATGTAGGCATGGTGCCACAAAAGGCCGCTGGTGTTCCCACATGAGTTCAGATGATGACTGATTGGCTGACATATTGATGATGATAGTAGCAATGGAATGACTGCTGACCTCACAATATTGCAGAGTGATTAAGAATGAAGAGAGAAAAAGGAGGGGTCAAGTAGGACCCTCATTGCAATGGATTCCCATGACTATAGTGGCATCTAGGTCTCTTGAGATTTTTCTTCTTGTGGGTGTCTTAGGTACTCTTGAGCTGATTATTAGTATCAAGTGAGGCATATATACACGAAGAGGCAGCTAGTTGGTTTGGTGGATAGAGTTCAAGGCTGGGACTCAAGACCTGAGTTCAAGTCCAGTCTCAGAAAATTGCTAACTGTGTGACCCTGGGCAAGTCACTTAACCTATTTGCCTCCATTTCCTTACCTGTAAAATGGGGCTAATAATAGTACACACCTCACAGGTTGCTTTGAGGATCAAATGAGATAATAATTGTAAAGAGCTTAAAACAATGCCCAGCACATCAGTGCTGTATAAATGCTTATTCCCTTCCCCTCAATGTCACAGACAGCTTCTAATACAAAGCCCAAATGGAATATTTCCCTTTAGAATCTAGATAGAATCTTGATAGAATCTAGTCTTTAGACGTTCCTATCTGTGCTTAGTGAATAGAGTCCTTGAACGTGATACATCCTCCTGAATGAGATTCACAACCACTCAAAGGAGTTCAGCCTAGCACCTTCAGGTTTGCAAAGTGCTTTAAAATACTATTTCATTCTCACAACAACCCTGGAGGATAGGTGCTATCATTGTCCCCGTTTTAGAGATGAGGAAACTGAGGCAGATAGAGGTTAAGTGAATCTCTCAGGGCCACACAACTTAGTAAGTGTCTGAGGTTGGATTCAAACTCAAGTCTTTTTACTGTACCAGGCTGATGAAGAATGACTGGGGAACTGGATGGAGAGCCCATCAGTTCCCATATCTTAGAGAGACAATGCAGAGGGACAACGATTAGGATTCAGAATTGGAAAGCAGAAATAAAGCAGAAGGACTGCATTGGAGAAGTTGCATGATGCTTTCAATGACCATAAGCTTCTCCCTGGAACAAAAAGTTGTCTTTTTTTTTAAACAACAATATTCTTCTAATGATGCTATCTGTCTCAGAATCATTGAATACCTCAGTCTCTGAAAAATCAAAATGGTAAGGACTCCTCAAAAAACATGGAATGACATATATGGTTATAAAGAGGCTCAAAAATAGGCCATGTGATGATATTTGATCAAGAAGATGTGGAAATATGTCATTTGTAAGCTTTATTACTAGAAAAAGAGATGGACCAGTCATATTGGAAGTAAGGGATAAAAGCATATGTGCTGTAATGGTATCCAAGCAACATAAAGAGACCTAGAGGGTGAACCTATCTCTCCCTCCCCCAACCTAAGCACACTGTGTGGAGCCTCTATATAGCATTTATTGGACAACACTGACAAAAGTGAAACAGATTGAGAACATAGGGGTAAAGCATGAGCTGAACGACTTGTAAGAATACCCACATTGGGGACAGCGTGGTTCCATTACTATTCTCTAGGTTTATAATGTCTGCCTATTTTGCTAGTAGGCTGGCTAGTTCTTTTCTAAGGAAGTGTTTCAGAAGACTGTCAAGGAGGGTGGGTGTTACTTGCATTTCTCTAAAGGTTTCCCTTGTGTCCATAACTCTGTTGTTGAACTCTACCGAGGTTCTGACATAGGACTGTTAGGAAGTTTCTTTGCGATGGCTCTGTGTCTCTAGGCTTAGAAACACTGATTTACTTGACAGTACCTTCTAAGAGCACGTTCTCCTTTCTGGGCTAGGGACATAAAATGTTGACTGATGATGAATATATTTGGGATTTCTACATGAGGAAGGCAGCATTGACATGGGGAAAAGAGAACTGCTTTTGGACTTGGATTCCAAAAGGACTTGGATTCAGGTACTATCTTTACCACTCATTACCTGTGAGATGGTGGGCAAGTCACTTAACTTCTCTTGTGTGGTCCCTTTAGGTTATAAATCTATGGTTCCCTATACATTCTAGAAAGTAGATATTACTATATTCTATTGGTTATAAGGCTCAACTTTTTGTATACTGCAACAACCTTCAGGAGAGAGACAGCTAGAAAGAACATTGGCTTTTGGAGTCATAGGATCTGCATTTGTAACCTACCTCTGTCATTCTCTGTCATCACCTATGTGATCTTAGTCATGTAATATCTTTAGTCTCAGTTTTCTCATATGTGAGAGGAGAGGGTTGAATTAGATGACCTCTGAGGTCCATTGCCCCTCTGTATCTATTATCCTAAGAGTCTAAGACTATAAACCTGTGATTCATTACAGCCACTCCAACTTCATGTTCTCAATCTATGAAATGGATTTGCCCCTTCCCCAGTTCACAGGGATATTGTGCACACTAACTGGGTGATGCTTGCAAATGGCTCAGTGCTCTTTGAACAGACATGTCAAGCAAATGAAACACGTTATATGTGTAATTGGGATTTGTGTGATTGGACTGATCTTCACATCACTCTGGGAAGTTTGGACAGAGGAGTTAGTTACATGTGATTGAGGGGGAAAAAAGGAGCAGTAGAATGGTTCTATGGTTGAGATTCCGGGAGTGAAGTGGTAGAGTCCAGAATGGTACTTGGCTGTCTGGCTGTTCTGTTATTCATCAGCAATGTAAGCTCCTGTACTGTTGGTTAAACTTCAACAAGCACAGAAAGTTCCTTTTATAAACTGAGTGCTTCAGGCAGGTGACTGTGACCTGCGTTTGGAGGGAGTCGTGTCTGATATCAAGTGAAGCAAATTTGTATTCACTTAGTGCATGAATGAACAAGCTTACAGGACCTCCTCAATTGCTATCAGGTCAGCTAGTTAAGTAGGTCACTGAGCTCAAACTTGAGGGAAATCGATTAATGCCAGGAATTTGGATTCTCTGATGATATTCTCTCTGTCTCAAATCCTCATATTCACATTTACTTCACATTCTGTAACATGTATCTCCAACCTAAATGGTACCGACTCAGAGACAGAGTCACAGGAAGGGAAGTAGCTTGAGAATATTTCTCAAAAGGTATTTAAGGTCAACTACCTGATAAAGCTGGAATCCCTGAAAAATCAAAAGTAGTACTGAATCATACTTTAGTTCCTGCGCTTCTATTTTTGGAAGATAATCCACTGATCACATGGCCAGCTTTATTTGATATGTTTGTCAGTGCGGGAAGAATATTCTAGTAAAATCTGAATGATTAGTACACTTGGTTGGAATTCATTGCTAATGAGACGTAAGTTTGGGTTCAGTACACAGATGATCTAATTAGCTTGTAGAACTTCTGTTCTGTGATGGTAGTCTATATCATTGATCCTGACTAGTCACAGGAAAGTACCATTGAAAGAGGAATTAGTTTGGATTCAGAGGATCCAGATTTGAATTGGGAAATTCATTTCACATCCCTGAGACCCATCTCTAAAATGAATTTCCTCAGTCTTTTCATCTGCAAACTGAGGAGATTTTACCAGAAGACCTCTGACATTCTTTCCACCATTAAATCTGGGATCTTGAAAATATGTGTCACTTGTCACAAGGATGGCCTATTAAGAAAATATGGTTGGCTTATGCCAAATATGCCAAATCTCTTTCTACTATTGGAAAAACAGCTCAGGGTATATGCCCAAACAGCTTAGAAGCTTGTTAACGGCAAAGTCTGAGTCACCCCTTTTGTGTTCCCCAAAGGGCAGATATCTATTTGCCTCTCTTCTCCCTTCATATCTCTCTCTCTCTCCTTCCCTCTCTTTTCCTCTCTCTCTCTCTCTCTTCCCTTATCTTCCCCTTCTTTCCCCCTCTTTTGATCTGTCTTCCCCTTTCTCTTTCCCTTTTTCTCTTCTCCCTCCCTCCCCCTTTCTCTTCCCCTCTCTCTTTTCTCTTTCTTCTCTCTTTCTCCCCTGCGTCCATCTTTTCTCTTTTCCTTTTTTCTTTATCCTTTTTCTTTCTCCATCCCTCTCCTTTCCCTCCTTCCCTCCCTTCCTCTTTCTCTTCCTCCTTTGCTCTCTTTGCACCCCATTTTATGATTTCACCAGTATAGAAAACTCTACCTAATGAAGATAGGCAACTCATCTTTACCATATAGCATTAGACAGTTTCTCAATATTAGATGCTCAATAGTTTTTGAATTGAATGTCCTATTAAAAGTGAGCCTATAGCATCATTTTTAATAATGATACTAATTCACAATCAAAGGGCACTTTGAGGTTCAGAAAGTGCTTTTCTTACAACAACTTCTGAGGCAAGTAGTATAATTAACCTCATTTTACAGCTGAGGAAACTAAGGCTCAGAAATAAAGAGTGACTTGTCTAAGGTCACAAAGCTAATAAGCGTCTGAGCTGAGATTCCAGTGCAGATTTTGGACACTCCAAATTATTGTTCTTTCTATTTTCTTTGAAAAAGACAGTGTGCTAAAATGGGGGTGAGAAGAAGTTAGCAATGTATTTTGGTCTAGCGCTGAGGTATATGAAGAACCATCTGTTCAGAATTTTATGAGGATGCTTTGCAATCTTAGCTGACATGCACTATTCTCCCCAGGGAAAGAGGCATTGGACATGGGAATGGGTGTTTCCTAGTTTCTTTTTATATTCACGGATATGTAAACCTGAGAAGTCACCAACCCCTGCTTTCTCCCACTTGTTTGCACCCTCTCCTTACCTGAATAGACAAAGAATTATACTTCCAGTTGTCAGAGCAATCAGAGAGACGCTGTATCCCAGGGTATAAATTGCCTTCACCAGGATATAAAAAGTGATCTAAGAAGAGAAAAATTATTAATAAATTCTTAGTGAGAAACATAAAGAATAAGACTCCTGGGGTCAGTCTTTCTCTTAGTTGTCAAACATGAATGTAGGCCCACAGAACAATCAGCACTGTTGCACCAGAGTAAAGAGGTTTTGTTCAGTCGTCCCCACTTGTTGCTGTATGAGGTTTCCTTGGCAAAGATACTGGAATGGTTTCTCTAGTGGATTAAGACAAGCAGAGGCTAAGTGACGTGCCCAGGGTCACATAAGTAGTGAGTGTCTGAGGTCATCTTTGAACTCAGATCTTCCTGACTCCAGGACCAGTGCCATACCCACTGAACCACCTAGCTTCCTCCAGAGGGAGAAGGGGGGTTATGTTGAATTAGCACATGGCTGCCTTAAAAGAAAGCAGTATGATAAGAGTAGAAACAGTGCTGGATTGGCAACAGAGGTTTGAATTAGGAAATTAATTTCACCTCCCTGAGACTCATCAGGGAAATAAATTACCTCAGTTTCCTCATCTGCAAAATGAGGTTGTATTAGATGACCTCTAAGGGTCTTTTCAGATTTAAATCTATGAGTCTTGGATTTTGAAAATGTGTGCTTTTTGTCACAAGGATCGTCTTGTTGAGAAAATGAAGATGGCTAAACACCACGTTCAAATCTGAGCTCTTCAACTTACCAGGGAGAATCATGTTGACACTAACTTATCCCCTCTCTTTCAAATGAGCATGGAGTTTGGAGGTCATTCAGTCTCAACTCCCTCATGTCAGAAATGAGGAAACAGAGACCCCGAGAGGTGAAGTGATGTATTCCCAAGTCGAAGGTCTCACAGGAAGTCAGAGCGAGGGTTTAAATCCAAATAGGTCCTGTAGCTCCAAACCTAGTGCTCTTTCCACTAAATCACAAATTCCTTTCTTTGGCCTTTGAGATTTATTTCCATCATCTGGTTGCATAGCCCTTAGCTCTTCTCTGTGTCACACTGTGAGGCAGCTAGGTGGTGCAGCAGACAGAGTTATGGGCTTGCAGTCAGGAAGAGCTGAGTTCAAATTCAGCCTCAGACACTTCCTAGCTGTGTGACCTTGGGTAAATCACTTAACCTTGTTTGCCTCATTTTCTTCATCTGTAAAATGTGCCAGAGAAGGAAATGGCAAACCATTCCCGTATCTTTGCCAAGGAAACCCCCAAAAAATGGGTCACAAAGAGTCAGAAACAACTGAAAAGTGACTAAACAACAACAGTAATGTCAGACTGTAAGGTATCCTGTCATTGTTGCTACCATTCTTATTTCCCATAATTCTTTTCTAGTGATCTTCCACTGTAACCAAGCTAACTTGCTTGTCATCCTTGGTCTCCCGATCTTTGCAGGTGCTATTTCCTCCACTTGGGATACAATTCCATATCCTTTCCAGTAATCTATACCCTTCACTGCTATTACATCTAAGTCCAAAATTCATCCCTTTTACTAAATCTTCGATCATTGATTCCATTTAATTGTATGGGTTTGTTTCTTCCCTCATCACATCCATACTTAGAATGTGCTATGTTATTAATTATTGGTTATTAAGATGTAGCTGTGCAAGTATTTCCCATAGGTGTTCAGCTGTTTGGTGTTGCTTTTCTGTCTTCCTTGCTAGATGGATAGCATTTATAGGGTAGAGATCATGTCTTCTGTTTTCCCATTTATTCCTACAGAGCCAGGTGCACACATAGCTGTGCAGTACACACAGTAGGTGCTGAGACTACTTGTGCTCATAAGTTGATTTGACACCATTGCCTATTCAGAGCAAATGTGGAGAAAGCTGTTTTACTTCAATAAATTTTAAAGCTAGACTGAGAAACGGCCTGATTGAAGAACTCTTTAAGCATACTTCTATTGAGCATCCGTGGTAGTATTTTTTAAAACACACAAGCACCAGCAGAATCCCTGAATGTGTCATAGTAAAGAAGACAAACCTGTGGTGGAAGCTGTTCGCAGTTTTGTGTGTGTGTGTGTGTGTGTGTGTGTGTGTGTTGGGTTCCATTTGGGAAAGAGAATGGAATAACTCTTCTGAGTCCAAGATGCAGGATGCATTGGGCATCTCAGTTGGGTTTTCTTTGATCTTATTACTTTAAACATCACTTGGCCTTGCATAGAAAACTTAACTTTCTTCATAGTTGATATCATATGATAATGAAGACATAAAGAAAAGCAAGCAATGCATGTCTACATTATATCAAACATCCAGCCAAAGACTTTAAAATCTATATATCTGTATGCATTAGCACCGAATTTTCGGATTTTTGGCTGAAATGTTTAGCTTCGATTGGGATGTCTGTCATCATTCATTCATTCATTCAACAATCAACATTCATTTGTTAAGCTACTACTTTGCATCAGTTGTGTACTAGATGCTGAGGACATAAATATAAAAATGATATATTCCTTTCCCTTAAGGAGCTTACATTCTAAAGGAGGAGATACAACACATGCATATGTAACAGGGGGTAAACAACAGACCCTCCTGGCCCCCTTAGGATGGAACATAGCTCATGGAATGTTGACCCTGTACCTTGGTTACTTCTGGGGAAACATGGCTCAGTACTGAAAGGACATGACACTTTGGCTTATGTAACAGGGCTGGGAGATGACCATGGAACTATCCAGAGTTTGGAACTTGCTAGTGTGAAATCCTTTCATCATCAAGTCACATTTTCTTGGAAGTAACAAGGATGCTGGGTCAGCACAACAAGGGGAATACTCTATCCAATCAAAGTAGACCAGGGGGCTTGCTATTTGCAGATCATTAATGCTCAGATAGATAAATGCAAAGTATATGCAAAATAATACAAAGTAATTTCAAGAGGCTAAGGACCTTAATAACGGAGAAAGAATGGTCTCACACACTGTAGGAGATAGTATCTGGCCTATATATTAAAGGAAATAGGAATTTAAAGAGTAGAAGTGAAGAGGGAGTGGATTACAGATACGCAGGGTCACAGGGGGTGGAAGTAACATTTGTGTAAAGACACAGAGGTGGGAGATGGAATGTCATGTGCAGAGAGGGTGTAGCAAAGAAGTCTGATGGAAAGAGAGAATGCACAAATTCTCTACAGGCATAAGCGTGGGTGCTACAAGTTCCATGGAAGACAAGTAGGACAAGGGATATCTAGAGTGAAATGAAATGGCTGGATTAGCTGATCTCAGGACTCAGTTTAATTTTGTAGCTGGGATTTTGGCAAGATGAAAATGAATGCTATATGAAACAAAACATTCTACAAATGCAATATAATAAGTGCACTCAAGTTAAAAGTCTAAGGAAAATAAATTGCCTTGTGTTAGCAGCCAGATCTGAAGTGGACTTGATACAAATGGCACAGGGCCCAGTTTACAGCAGGATGAGGGACTACATAGGTCTGGAATATTCCAAGTGCTGACATTGAGAACCTTGCACTAATGTAGATGTCTGGACACATCTCTTCTCACCTCTCCCCTGCTTTATGCTGGTATGGACCTAGCTTTAATACAATACTCAAGACTTGGGCAAGACTAGATCTATATTTTGGTCCAGTATAGCCTTGTCCAGACTTATCTCCAACTCAGAGAAATCCTAGTTGGCCATTGAGGGTCCATCTATTGAAACCTACTCAGGCACATTTGTTCAGTTAGTTCTATTTAAATCATTTCTGCAGCAGTATAAAATATGTGTATCATGATATAATTATAGAAGGTGAACAGAAATTATGTTTGGATGGAAGTAAGTTCTTCTCTGTACGCTTTCTTTCATCTTCACAAGCTCACATCTTATTCAGCAACCCTGAGCAGGGACTTGCAAATCTAAGGAAAGGTAGATAGTTTTCTTCTTACCTATCCTCAGAGGTATAGTAGGCTAGACACAGTAATGGGAGGAAAGAAAGGGGACTGTGTACTTCAAGGGAATTTCTTTGGGGCTGTGCGCTTTCTTGGAAAATCTGGGTAGGCAGATACTGAGGAAAAGAAGTCTGACCTAGCAGAGCCTAAAGAACCAGGACCTTTTGTATCATCATTGTCATCATCATTACCAGTAACAAACATTTATATAGCACCTATTATGTTCCAGATTCTGTGCTGAACACTTTATAAACATTATCTCATATGATCCTCACAACATCCCTATGAGGAAAATGCTGTTATTATCCTCATTTTACAGATGAGGAAACTGAGGCAAAGAGAGGTTAAAAATCTGTGTGCAGAATCACACAGCCAGTTAAGTGTCTAAGGCTGGACTTGAACTCCAGTTTTGGCATGCTGTCCACTGTGCCACTTAACCTCTCTGGACCTCAGTTCTCTCACCTGGAAAATGAGAAGGTTGAGCTCATCAACCACCAGAATCCTTTTTGTCCTTGCGCTGAAAGAATTATGACATCGTAAGTACCTAAATTCTTATCAGGCAAAGCCTTGGGTGTTGGATTCACTGTGGAAATGTCTGGCTCTCACTAGCCACTTTTTGGCTTTCTATCATGGCCAGAGTACTCCACAAAAATCACTGGACATGAAAAGGGACATGGAATGTGATCCTAATGAGTATGCAGAAAAAACTACTGAGATCAACCAAGTAAGCAACAAAGCCTTATTCTGCCCTTACTACATTATGCTAGGCACAGATGTACTGTGACACTGAGAGATAAAGAGGCAACTATTGAGCACCTATTATTCCTTTCTTGTAAAAGCTATGAGTCTACTAGGTCTGCTTAATGGAGAGAAGAGAATAGGGAGGTCCCTAAAGAAGACCTTCCTAACTGAGGGAATGAGAAACAGATGAGTGCTAGACCTCAATAATAAAATGGTGTGTATAGAAACTTTTGGGGAGACACTGAAGTTAGGTGGAGCACTTGGCCTGGAGTGTGAAAGACTCCTCCTAGGTTCAAATCTGGCCTCAGACACTCATGAGCTGGGTGACTCTGGGCAAATCACGTCACCCTGTTTGCCTCAGTTCCCCCTCTGTAAAATGAGCTGGTGAAGGAAATGGCAAACCACTCCAGTATCTTTGTCC